CTCCGCGTTAGGAGGCGGCGACCAGGCCAAGTCCCAGCCCAGCAAGGCCGGGGAGCCCTCGACGGCGACCTGTCCGGCGAGGGGCCAAAGAAGGAGGACAAGGAGGAAGGGCGGCGTCGCCGGGGACCCGGCAATGGCGCTCGACTTTCTGGCTGGATGCGCTGGAGGTAAGGAGGCAGGCGGGTCCGCCATGAGGGCCTGGTACGGCGGGCGCCCGGAGCAAGGCGTCTGAGATGCGAGGCCAGCTCTCCTAGGAGCATTCGGCCCAACGGCTTACGCTGTGGCTGAGGTTTCCTCGTCTGTAAAATGGGACAACAATGCTCTCGTCTCACCGAGCTCTCGTGGGCGTAAATTGGCATCAAGCCTGGAGGGCGCCTAGCGCGCTGTCCTCGAGGGCAAGTGTCTTTTAAGTCCTTCGGGGCACGTTCGTACGAGAGGTCGGGGGCTCCGGGGCAGCACCGTGGCTGCCAGGGGCCTGCCAGAAGGATGCCCCACTGCCGTCCTCGCCCGAGGTCATCGGATGGCGAGGCCCTGAGCATCTCTCTCTCACCTCCTCCTCCGGCCCCCACCCACCCGGAGCGGGGTCTCCTCCCTGGGCCCAAGAAGTTTGAGACTGGCGCTACCCACTCTCCCACAGCCCGCCGGGTGGGGCTGGGGCCAGGCCACCGGACGACCCCCTAGTGGGATGGCCTAAAAGGCGTCGAGTCACGTCTTGGCGCCCCGTCCCCTGATTATATGCCGTTCAGTGAACTGCTGGGAGGCCAGATACACCCGGGTGGCAGAGTGGCCCTGACACGCCATGTGAGCTAGGCCTTGGGCACACGCGTGCGTGTAGCCGGTATGGGGCACCTTCACCGAGGCGGGGACGCGGCGCTGGGGTCCTCTCTAAGCCTGTGTACCCAGAAGGACCTGAGTCTCTGCTGTGGCCTGACCGCGGGCGTTTCTCTGCTTTTACTTAAAGGGTTAATTTATTCAACAAGTAGTCAGTGGGAGCCTGGTTTAGCTATCAGGGAGTGGGGCTTAGAGACGCGGCAGAGGACCGGCTGAGTGGCCCCAGGCCCGGTCCTGCTCCGACGTTTCCCACGACGGATGCTTCTCTCCTCCAGCACCCGCCCTTGTTTTGACTCTGCATTGGCTTGGGCTCGCTCCAGTAAAGCTCTCAGCTACCTGCCAGCGTGGGCATCCTGGAGGAAGAGGAGTGACTAGACTAGCAGTGGCCTGAAGCCTTTAAACGGTGCGGCGCAGCTTCCTGCTCTGGGCGAGAGGAGGTTGGTAGAGAAGGGAGTGTTCTAGGGAAGTGTCCCCTGTGGTTACCCAGTCGGGTCTCCAGGCCTCAGGAAACGAGGCTAGAGGAGAGGAAGAAACCCCAGAGCTTCCTGTAAATTGGGGAGCATTTTTCCCAAGCCCAGGATGCAGAGGAGACAGGAGAGGTCGGTCTCCGTGTCCAGCTCGCAATTCCACCCAACTCCATCCCACTCTCTGCTCTTCCCATCCCCCTCGGGGAACCTCCCCAGTGCCCTGCTACCAGGCCGCTGACTCCTCCTGGGCTCCAGACCCTTCTCTACTTAACCCCAGTGGTAACTCAGTCCCAGGGCTAATGCCCCTTTCCAACTTCTTGGGGAGTGTGGGTTCTTTCCCCAGAGGGATGGGATTCCTTCTATACTCACACAGGTGTCCTGGGAGCCATGAGGTTTGAGGTTTGGGCCAGGCCCTTCCTTCAGACACACGTGTTAAGTCACTCTGGGCTCTTGCTGGTGCAAGGCCCTGCCTGGGGTGTCTTGTGCTCATCCTCACCAAGCCCACCTGGGAGAGAGCCTGTGTAGGTCCCAGGGTTGGAGTAAAGACAGGGTCCAGAACTCTGGGGAGCTGTAGGCCTCCACAGCCCCACCCCACTACCTGGATCCAAGTGGAAGCATAGGGCAGGTGGTGCCCACTTCCCCTTCGTGTGGATAGAGGGTCAGCAGCTCCTGGGCCCAGGGACCCTTTCCTAGTATTAACCCAGGAGAAACCTAGGCCTTGAGAAGTGGAAGGATTAGTGCAGATCACACTGGCTCCTCCAGTGGGGCGGGGCCGCCCTGCTCTCCCCTTCCCCCAGCCTCAGGGCGCTAGGGGCCGGCCTGCAGGACAGTGAGCTGATTGTGTCCCAGGCCAGCCTTCTGGGCCCCTGGCACGGCCTGGCCAGAGCTGAGGGGCCGTACAGAAACTATGCACAGGCGGCACCCCTACCTGGGGGCCCGGCCCCAGGGGCCCCCGCCTGCTTCCTTTGGGTTTGGGCTCCTCAAGGCCTAGGGCTCAAGGCAGATGATGGCTATCTTTCCAGGGTTGGAGTGGGGGGTACTGGGGTGGCTGTTGATTCCTGGGAGGAAGCACAGTAAATCACCTCTGATTGGCTGAGTGTGGGCCTCGTGTCCAACATCACTCTCAGGGAGGCAGGGTGGGACCTTGATTGGCAGTATCCCCGAGGCTTCATGGGGTCAAAGGATCCAAATGCCTACCCACACTCCCCCACAAGGGATCAGTCCTAGGTCTTGGGCCCACTGGACCTTGGGCTCTGGATGGAGATCTTCCTGCTGTAAGTATGGATGGGAGGTGGTGCAGAGAGAAACTCAACCGTTGGCAGAGGGACCCCACCATGGGGGACAGGTCAGTCATCCTGGTGTTCCTTCCCACCACCTCTGCTGCCAGGTGCCTCCAGGACAGTGGTCCCCACTCCTGCCCTGGAGGGTCATGGGGTGGTGGGGGTGCCCCTGAGAGTCCAGCTCATGTAGGGCAGTGGGCACTGGCTTTGGAGTTGGGGAACAGGGTCACTTCAGCTGCTGTGGCTATAGGCCTCAGTGTCCTCTCGGGCAGATGGCTCTGCAGGCCTCCTGGCTCTCAAGGTGACTGGGAGGTTAAAAGGATGGGCTTTGGGGGACTGGAGGGCCCCACAGTCCACTGTTCCTATGGACGGGCACGTTTTGGGTGAGGGTGACCCAGCCCTTTGCCTGAGGGCACTACAACAAATTGTGGGAGAAAGTAGGAGATCCTTGGTGGGGCTCCCAACAGAGCTGGTGGGGCGAGGGGTGCCCCGCCCACCCTGGAGGCTGAGGAAGGCTGAGGCTGAAACCTGGGCAAGCCTGGAGCGAGAGGCAGGGCTGTCCACTCACTGGAAGGGGACTCCCCAAGATGGGCCTGGCGGCGGGTGCCGCGGCTGGAGAGAGGAAGAAGACAGGTGGCAGGCAGACCCCGGCAGTGCTAGGTTTTCAGAACCCAAGGAGATGCAGTTCCGGCCCAAGAAGGGAGGTTCCAGAACTAGGATTTTCAAAGTCGTAAAATTCAAAACATGAAATGAAGAAAAGGGTAGATCTCAAATGACAGAAACAAAGTGTGTCTTGAAGACCAGAAACACAGAGGTGGGAGTCCAGACAGAAAGACAGACTTGGGGTGTCTTTTCCCCCAACCTGTGAATGTTAGGGGTTCCAGAGGGAGAAAAAGTTCTAGAGATGATGAGTATGATGAATACCTAACAGTGGAAATCTTCTCTGACCAGAAAAAAGCGAGTCTGCAGACTGAAAGGGCTGGGGGAGTTCCAGGCAGGGTTATTTTAAAGAAAAAAGACACACACACCCTTGGTATCTCCTGGTGACAGTCCAAAAACCTTCAGATAAAACCTCAGAGGCTTCCTGACAGAATAAATAAACTATTGGCAAAGGAGAAGAAATACAGTGTCAGCGGGTTGCTCATCCACAGAGCTGGAAACCAGAAGATTCTGGGACACGGCCACCCTAATGGCCTCGGCCCGGAATCCTCACTAGAGCACAGGACCGTTTTCCCAGATGGCGTTCAAGGAGCAGGTTTTGCAGATGAGCAGGAGTTCAGAGGGTGTGTCCCCATGCGTTACATCTGAGGGACATAATCAAGAAAGGCTCCAGTGATCAGAGCAGAGACAGATCCCTCCAAGGTGGGGGGAGAGGTGTAGAGGGGAGGGAATCGCACCGACTCTGGTGGGGCTTATAGGTGAAGACCAGTGGAAGCTGGCAGGGTGGGAGTCTTTTTGGGGTGGCTCTTAGGGGTAGTGTGGGACGGTGGGGGGCAGAGAGCGCCTCCTCTCTCTCACCCTGGGATGGAGGTGTGTGTGACGGTTCTGACCCTGTTTCTATGTGATGATGATGATGAGTGTTAGAAAGCAGCAGTAACACTTAGATGAACCTACAAATTAACCAGCAGAAAGGGAATGAGGAGCAGTTTGCCTGAACCAGCAGAAACGTGGAAAGGGAAGGGAGTACAATAAATCATGCCCAGAAAATAAGATGGAGGCACGTCAGATCTCTTGTCTTGGCAAAACCTGAGACTGCTTCAGACGGATGGCAGAGACCACAGCCCAGCTGTAGGCTGTTTGTGGGACATCTGAAGCAGAGTAAAACAGGGCCTGAAAATCAAGAACTAGACAAAACTGCACCAGGCACATGTGACCCAGCAGAAGGCTGGATTGGCAAAGTGGGTGTTAAGGTCCGGAGCACTGAACAAGGGAGATACAGAGACTAAAAATACAATTTATG